TTTGAAAACGTATATTTCTTTTAAAGTATAAGGTTCAATGGCATATGCCCAGCCAGTAGGCTTACTATCCTGCCTGCTATTAATCCCTTAAATAGTAACAATTATTATTTTTATTACGTCATTCATTTTTAAAATTTATTATAATTTAATTACTAAGCCAAACAAATGCATTCATCATGAGTAAGTTATAATAAGTCTGTCCAAAAGCAAATTTAAATTAATTTGTTTTAATTTAGAGTGTGCAATAAAATGTAAAATTAATATTATTACTACCAATAGAAAAAAAAATTGAGCGTAGGAGTGCAATATGTCTGATGACATTGTGGTGTTATGTTGTTATAAACCTTGCAGTATAATGAGTTATCAAGTCTTAAAAAAGGTGCTCTGCTGTACAGTAGGTTACAAGTGGGTTACTGTATAATGGATGGTATTAAATTTGAATTCAATGATATAATATCATTGTATAAGAAAAACAATTCTGAGCGGAGACGGTATGTCAGTCTAGGTATAAGACATATCTATTATATACATAACTATGGTATTAAAAAAAATTTTCCTATAATAAATTCCAAATTAACCATATCACAATATCTATATTAGGTACTTATAAAGCGTTATAACGCCTTATGACTACATCAACAACATAATAACTAAAATAGTTATTCTAGGTTTTTTTATGGTTAGGTTAATTTGAACTTAAAATGAATATAAAAATAAACTGTGCTTCTGTATTTTTTAGACTTTTTGGTAACAGAATTAACTACTTACGTGGAATCTTGTTTTAAATTTTCAATCTTTAGATATAAAAGTTTAACATTTTATAAATTTTTAACTACAAAATAATTATTCAATTTTAAATTTGATAAATTTTGTCATTATTCGATTTTTAAATTCTTATAAAAAAAAAAATTATGGCTATGTATTTTTAATATTTTTCAACTGATATTGTAACAATATATCAGGAGCCTTGTATTAAATTTTTACACTTTTTAGCCCAACAGATAAAACTTAATTGATATTTATAGAAAAAAAAAACTAAAAAAATTGAATACTGTAATGACCGTAAACAGCTCAAAACAAGTCAAAATATTTAAAAAATTGTATCAAGTATAGGAATTGATAAAACAAACTTATGATATAAATCTCAAGTGCCTACAGTTATTCGTTTTTGAATTCCAATAAAATAAGAAAATTGTTACATGAGAAATCGAGTGTATATCAAATGTTGTTAAAATATGAATTTCAAACGCTCATAAGAATTTAATTTGACTTTCTTATAGACCTTTTTTTTTGATAAAGGTAAAAAATCTTATAAGGAATCTTGTATTACATTTTAAGATCTTAGATTTAAAAAGAAAAACTTTTACAAATTCTTAACTCAAAATAATTTGCTAAATTTGAGATTTTTCCATAATTTGTCAATTTTTGAACTTTAAATGCTTATTATTATGATATTATTGTGATTAAAGTAATTTATTTAGCTATTAGTACAATAGTAAGTTAAATTAATTTTTGCAAAAAAAATACATTTAAAAATGTCATTGTGTGAATAAAATATAATGATATACTCTAAATAGTAAAAGTTTCATAAGCCCATGAATAATATTTTTAAATTACAACAAAATAAGTAAAACCGTGATTCTGGGTTTTAATATGTAATTTCGTCAACATATGAACTTAAAATGTCTGTTTATATAATGTGTTATATGTGTTATAGTTTAGATTCCGAGTGAAACGATTAATGTATTGATTTTACAATGATGTGTGTTTTCTTTTTTATTTCTTTTTTATTTTTGTGTCTGTGTACACGATAAGTAGTCGAAATAATGCTTCGATTTTCAACTTCAGTATCTTGTTCGATGGGAGAGTCAATATTGTTGGTCGACATTTAAAATATGTCGATATTTAAAATAAAAATCCTTCTTCACAGTTTTTATTTATAAACATTTAAAGTTCATAATATCTTGACAAAACACGGAAAAATCACGAAAATTAGCAAATTATATTGAGTTAGAAATTCATACAATTTTTTCTTTTTAAATCTTAGATTTAAAATGTAATACAGGATTCCTTATAAGGTTATCTACCTTTATCAAACAAATAAAATATTTATGAGAAAGTCAGTTAAATTTATAGGAGCGTTTAAAGTTCAAATGTTAACTACATTGGATATTCACTCGATTTCTCATGTAGCGATTTTCTTATTTTGTTGTAATTCTAAAACGAATAACTGTAGATACACTAAAATTTCACTGAATGTTCTGTGAATATTCTTATTTTATATACACCATACATTTTTGAAAATATTTTGACTTGTTTAGAGCTGTTTATTTGTATTGTCAGTTTTCAATATTTTTAGTTTTTTTTTCTATAAATATCAATAACATTTTATTTGTTGGGTAAAAAAGCATGAAAAATTGATGCATTGCTCCTGATATATTATGACAATAGCAGTTGATAAATATTAAAAATACATATGCACAATTTTTTTTTATAAGTATTTAAAGTTCAAATTTTGACAAAATTTATTAAATTTTAAATTTTATATTAATTTTTTAGTTAAAAATTTATAAAATGTTCAACTTTTATAGCTAAGAATTGAAAATGTAAAACAAGATTCCCCATAAATAGGTTATATATAAATTACTTTATTCACCTTAAGATCATCAAATATACTTCGTTATATCATAACACTGACTGACTGTTTTCGCTCAGAATCGTTTTTCTTATACAATGATATTTTATCATTGAATTCAAATTTAACACCATCCATTACACATTACAGTGACCCACTTATAACCTACTGTACAGCAGAGTGACTTTTTACGATTGTTTGGTTACAGTATGAACTATTTCTGAGAATTTTTGTTTTAAATTTTCAATCATAAGCTATACAAATTTTATAATTTTTTAACTAAATATAAATTAATTTTAAAATTTACGAGATTTTGATAAATGTTGTCAACATTTGAACTTTATATACTTATAGAAAATATACATGTCTATAAATATATATTTATTTCTCAACAGCTATTATAACTACTTATGAGGAACATTGGATTACATTTTCTTGCTTTTTGACCAAACTAAAACAATTTTATTGACATTCATACAAAAATTAAAATAATAAATATTCCAATTTATAAAAATTGAAAATTGAAAATGTCTATAAATACCTAACTTCAAACGAGTCAAAATATATTTTAAAATTTTATCTTGTACAGAAAATGATAAAATAAACATTTTATTTGATAATTTGTTAATTTACGGGTTATTGCTTCAAAAGCTCGTAAAAAATTAATTTGAAATTAAAGTGAACTTTTTGTTAAATGTTTATTTATAATTTGATATAATTTTCCAAATTTACCAATTTTGTAATTTTCTTGAATCTTTTAACTTCATACGCTCTTAAACAATTATTTTGGATTTAAGCTCAACTTTTTTTGTAATTTCCACTTACATCAACTTATGAAGAACGTTGTACCTAATACATTTCTTGTTAGTGTTGACAATTGTTAAAAATAAACTATTAAATACAAACTTTAATTATGCCTATAAATAGCTCAAAAAGAGTCAAAATATTTCGAAAATGTTATGGTGCATAGAAATTGCATATATAAACATCCATTGAAAATTGTATCTATAATCGGTAATTTTTTTTTTAGTAACATTTAAATCAAAATCAATTTGTTCGAAAACCGGTTAGTTTAAACCTCATTTTTTCCATAATTTGTCGTTTGTTTTTCCTGACGTTTTTGAAACTGTTTGGCAATTTACTTTTAACCCCCCAAAGTAGTATCTAGATTCACTTTCCTACCAGAAAAGAAGCTGCTGATGAAAATTGAAGCATTTTTACTGTCCCAAAAGGTGATGACAGGCATAAATAATAATAACATAAAAAAACATCATTTTAAAATTAATACATATAGCTGCTCAGAATCTAAAATAACCAGGTTTGTCTTTTTGAAAAAATCAATGTGTTGTCTTATATAAATAGCTACCTACCGTATTTTGTTATATCCATAATTATTTAGGTAATAGTTAGACCTGTGTTATAAGTTGAACACAGTTAAAAATAACAAGGTGATTTATTGATTATAGTAACAAAAATATGTTAGGTTCAAATGTTTAACTGTAAGCAAATTTAATTTTTTTGTTGATAAAGGTAGGTACCAACGTTATTAGTTGTAACAAAAATAACAAGGAGGATTGTTGATACCTAATGAAATACTTTATGTATATTGGTTTATCATTATTATTTTTTAATAGCTATGTCATCAAACAGTAAAAACAATTAAATATTCACCTAAAACCAGTATTTGAAAATTCGATTATGTTGTTTTAGTTCAATAATGAATAACAGTTTAGGTATACTACTAAATAGGTAATTTAAAATTTTAATGATTTCAAAATATTTATTAGACATTAATTATTTGGCATTTTTTTTAGACATAGCCATATAGGTGATTTTAAAAATAGGTTAAAAAGATATCCATCTTTCTATTTTTCTTTTCTTTTATTTATTTAACTTAGAATTTTCAACTTTTTATTTTTTTTTCGATATATATCTATTAAAATGTTATTATTTAAAATAAATAGGTAAGTATCTAAAGGTGTATTTGTTGTTCGTATATGATACATTAACGATATTTTGGTTAATTCTACTAAACTTTATCAGTATGATCAATTAATGTTGTTAGGAGTATGTTTAGGCTATTTTATGTTTTCAGCTATTTCGCTTAATCTCATGCTAGACAGTGTTCTGTGTCAAAATTTATCTACCCTGTTATTTTCATACGTATTTATCAATTATCAAGTGTTCGAGATAAACCTATCGTTAAAAACTATTGTGATTAAGTTGATGTGTAGGTATGTATAAAAATATATTAATTTAATTCCTAATATGTTTATTTTATTATTTTACCATTCAATTATTATTGACCTTATAATGGATCTATTCAAACTTAGTATCTTAATTTAAGTAATATTGTGTAGCTTACTTTTGCAGCTTCCATTGGGCTGAGTGCGATGTCAGCGAAGAATTCGGCAGATGCAGAGGCAGCCAAGTACAACGCGGTTCTGTACACGTATGAGTTCTCTTCGCCAATCATCTCCGAATAGTGGACTTTGAAAACTTCATACAAACCAAATTTGCACATACCCTAATAGGGATCATTAACGGTTATAGACACATATATATTGTATTTGTATAATCACGAGGAATTATTTTGAATTTGGCTTACTTGAGCGGCATATCCCAAGAAAGTTGGAGCCCATCCTTTGGCCAATCCCTTGAAACCATCTTCTTTCAGTGTAACCTACGCATAAATCATCGTACAAATTGTGGTTTTTATATTTCTTATTCGTTACGTATATGAATTTTACTTTTACTTACTTTGAAACCATGAACAACGTTCTTGTATTTGGCTTGGTCGACTTGCAAACGACATTTAACCAAATCCAGTGGTGTGACCATTGCGTGAGTTATTCCACACGACAAAAAACCGCCGAGCCCGCAAAGCAAAAAATATTTTGTCGATCCAAACGCACAGCTGTCTTTAAATAAATAAATTTAATTTTGTTATAATGATCCCTAGTATGTAAAATGCACAAAACAAATTATTAAATCGTGAATAATATGACCTACAGGTTCTTCAAAACCTAATTTCTATAAACAGTATAACTAATTCTATTATATAAATATTTTTTTTAAATCCTAGCGTAGGCCGTCATCTAATCACGATTAATATAATATCGACGCCCCAGTTCAAAACTGCAACAACTCAAAATATTGGTTTATTGGGTATAATGTGTGTTTTTCTATTGTATCTCTATTTAACTTAATGTAAATTATAATATTGAAAATTCTCTTTCATGATCAATAATTAAACTACATTTTATTTTCTTCTTCAACTGAAATTGTCATGAGATGGTTTACATAACTCGGATTTGTTATATCTCGAGTTGTTGCAGTTTTGAACTGGGGCAACGATATAATGTGTAATTGTTGAAACATTTGTTTATTGACATTAGAGGTGGTGATCCAAGATACATGGACAGTAGACACCTACAGGCCATTCATCATTGGAATTCGTAATAAAAGTAACTGACAACTGATAACTAAATATATGTCATCCCAGGCGCGCTTTTTAGTGGGGGGATAGTGGCCAGCCCCCCCCCCCCTCAGACATCAAAAACTACTTATAAATAATAACTTCTTTCAAAAATCTGGATAGAAGTTTAGAGTGTTTTTAAGTTATAATAACAATTAACAGCCTACAAATTTTACTATTGGATACCCTGTGTTATGCCCTCTGTATTTCCCTAAGTGGGTAAGTAGTTAAAAGTAAAATTGTTGGCCCAAAAGGATATTTCTCCAAGACGAATCAAATCTGCTACTATTCAACCGCTGTTATCATTGGAAACTTGAAATTCAAAACTATACATTGCAATCAGCAAATGTTTAACATAACAACTCATAGCCCAAATTTGTATTAGTGCCTGATATAATAGCACCACACCAACAATTGTAGACTCAACTCGCCTATACGTGCACTTGCTCACAAATTCGCGTGTCGATAATTAGCTAACGTTTGTTTTGTTAAAATAATATAGATAATATAATAGTTATAATAGATAAGAAATAATATAAAATAATATTTTGCACGTTTTACTTTTTTCACATTTGTGAAACACGCTATATTAATATAGTATTATTTGAATTTAATTCACGAGTGATTAACTGATAACAATTACGTTAACTGTAGGTATATACTATTAAAAAAACAAGGCTTGACATGAACGAAAAAATATTTAAGTTACATAACGATTTACATTTTTTTTAAAGTAGGTAACTTCTAACTTGTTGAATTAAAATTTGTCGCATAATTTACAGTTATTGTAGTATGTGTATAGCGTAATGTCGCCTTGCAAACGTACAACATAGCACATTTTACTTTAATAATAATCCATTTTACTGTGATATTTTTAAAATTAGAGTCAATTGAATTTTTATTTTTTAATTGAAAGGTAAGATTATTATCTAGGGCATCTTGGAGGATTTTATTGATATTCGTACAAAAATTGTATAGTTTCAAAAAGGACATGGGTAACTTGCTTCTTAATAAAAATATCAATAAAAGCCTCCGAGATGTCAAAGATAATAATCTTACCTTTAAATTGTATCACAGGTGTTAATTAATATTATTGACCAAAAGTCGACAATTAAATTATATGGCGGTCCAGATAATTTGAAAAAAAATTTTGAGAGCCAGATTAAACTTAAATATTAGTTAGAAATTAATGTATTTATTTTTGCGTTAAAAATACAGATTAAGCTTTTTACCACGAAACTAGAACCCAAAAATTATATCAATAATAAGTACATAAGTACATTATAATATAGATGTATACTATTATAATGAATAATGATTAATAATATAAATAACATAGATGATTTCGACTAAATATATTCGACCTTCCGTATTACTAATAGTAAAACAAATTCTTTAATAGTTATATAAATTTATAACGAAATACACTTTGCAATAGGCCTATATTCTATAACTATAGGCTAACAGACCGTATCCGATCATAATCGTTTTTTGTATGCAATGATTCATCATTGAATTAAAATTTAGCACATTACAGTGACCTAATCAATAACGAGGTTGGTACCTGTACTCGACACCTACTGTACAGCAGAGCGTACCTTTTCTATATGAACTTAACGAGTTAAAAAAAATTAGTTTTCTTCCTCATTCTTGCAAAAATTAATATAATATTATGTAATATATATTACGATTTATGAACGTAAGAAAAACAAATAATAGGTTCGTAAATTGTATTTTATACTTCTAAAAAAAAGTTTACCATTTACTGCCAAAATATACCTATCACCATTGCAGTATACCTACCAACTCTGTCCCGCATTGAACACATAATCCTTTCATCATCTACACACAAAGGTAAATCAATATTATTATAAACTGAAATAGTTTTTAATATGATTTTGCCTTGGTTATTTATACGCAATGTTTTTACAGAGTTTTCACAAGGTTTTTTTAAAAATACATTTTGAAAAATAAATTGGCAAATGGTAATACTCTAATTAGGTTTTGAATTAAATTTAACCGTCAGTAATCACTAATCACATATTAGATAAACCAAATATAATTTTAAATTTAAATTTAAACATAATATCAATGGATAGCAATTTAATTCAAAGTTTATTCAGAATATTATAGCATTTCAAATTTTAAATCAGTGTCGTATTTTTTTAACCATGACAATTAAAGAACAACAATTATACCTACTTACAATTGTTAATTCCGGTCCTTTGGCAAACATTTTTGTGGGTTTATCAGTGATTTTGAATTTGAAATAATAGATAGATATTACCTAATAATGAATATATGCTCTAATATCACGTTTTCTGTTTGATTTTATTGTTTATATTATATTTTCATGTAAGTATATTAATTATTTAAAAAAATTATATATAAATGATAACTTATTCAATATTCATAAATATGTTACTTTTATGCTCTTACATATAACTATAATCACTACACTAGTTTAATTATAAATAGAAACCTACTTTTAATGCATTGAACCGAATAATGTAATTTAAACTTTGTTTTGAGTATAGTTTTAAACTTTAAAAACAAACCCACACTCTGAGACCATATTTAATCTTGGAACCACATTCTGTAAGTCATTACTTATTGTATAATATAATACAAAGTATACCTAGGTACCTAGGTACTACCTAACATTTGTATTTTGTTTTTGAGTTACGTCTTATAGGTATATCAAAATGTCATAACAAAAATAATATTTAGTTGTGCGATATTGAATATCTAAGATGATCTAATTCATAAACGGGTATAATATTTGAATCACTAAGTTTTATTTATTATTTTTCCTACTTATATAGAATAATTATTATACGAATTATTTATTCATTTATTTCATAATCATATACTTAGGGTAAGAATTGGTAAGAACTTTGTAGCATTTCATGTAAGTTAATGACTAACATAAAAAGTTTTATTTTGAAACATACGAAAAGAGATTAATGTCCTTTTTGACAGTGCTATCTATATCAATTAATTGTACCTATATCAATCGCTATAATAATTCGATTTTGATTATATTTGGTTAGGTACCTAGTAAAAAAACCTCATATATTAAATTAATATACTTATATTACCTACTTAGTAAGTTTGTTCATACAAAGTCAATTCATTACATTTTTTTCAAATAGTATTCAATATAATTCACAGTTAATAAAATGCACTTACATTGTAATCAATATAATATAATATATACTTAAATAACAGTGCACGTGATGAACGTGTTTGTCTTTATAAATTGTTAAAAAAACCTCAGTACCAAATAACTACAACGACCTACTAGTATACTTACTATTTAATTAATTATATTAGATATATACGATTGTGATATGATATTCAATATTTGGTTTTATAAAAGACAGATTTTCCAAATGGCTTATGATAATATTATTATATTATACCTACCTATTGTGTGTGTTTTTTCTTAATTCGGAAAAGTAAATTTGTTGATACCCGTTAATAATCAAATTACATTTGAAGGTACGTACAAAGTTACTTAGGTGCTATTATTGAAGATTTTGATATTTATTAAATTAAAATTAAAAAGAATTTTTTTTTATTCAATCCAAAAAAGAATAAATATTATTCTAGTTGACAAATACTGCAATTTTATTCAAGTGGATACCTACTAAAATATGACTAAAAATAATTAAACAGAGCTATTAAGATTTAATATACCCAACTAAATACAAAATCGTTTTAAAATGTATATATTAAGAAGTTAATCGATCAAGTGTTTTGTAAATTTACGCCAACGTTTGGTTACAATTTACTGTACATAAAATCATACAAAAAAATGTAACTTTTAAAATGTGTAACACTGATATTACTTTAGTTTATTGATTAATGACATCAGATATATTATTATCTTTATCAACAATTTTAAAACCATGCTATTAACCGAAAACTACCTACAATTAATATGCTATTCAGAAATACTTTCAATTTCGTTAATATTCATGTTTGGAATTTGAAAAAATTATTGTTATAAAAAAATGTTAGGAAATTGTTGATTTATTAAAAACGTATATAGGTAAAGGGTCAAAACAAATTTTTTACAAATTAATACAAATTGCTGCTAGAGTTATGTATACAAATTGTATAATACAATATACCTACGTACATACGATATGTACCGTGTATACTGTACGGTAATAGTGAAAAAAAGAGAAAATATATTATTTTTGTAATTTTTATTAAGTGCGTTGATGCAAAGCCGGGCAAAATTATCAGCGAAACGAAATCCGGGCTTGCGCACACGTTTATAACGACCACAGTTATTTCTACCAAAATATCGATAGGTACCTAACTGGGCATAATCCAAGAGTGACCACGCAGCAAATTGTCTATTAAAATAGATTAGCGGTTATTTGAGCCCACTGTTCGCTTAAAAGAACGTTTTGACTTTTTCATAGCGCCATGCCCCCCCCCCCCCCGGGATGTTTTAAAGATTACGTTAGAATTATAATTTATAACTTACGAATAGTGAATAACATTATCAGGTTTGTTCTATTGTAATATGTAGGTATTATATTTACTATTTTATGTATGTACCTATATTATAATATGACGTAATGAAGTATAGTATTATAAGCTCATTCAAAGAAATTGGGTTTTTTTAGGTGGGACATTTAATTAAAAATCCCTTCATCCTCAGATGAAAAAAATATACTGTGACAAACCATGGGAATTTTCTTTGTTTGGCGTTCACGTGTTTCAATGTATACTTTGTGGGTTGGATTTATACGGACACTATGAAAGTACGTACCTAATATTTGTATAAAAAAGATCAAGACTGTGTGTTCAAGTTCACCTTACTAGAAATAATAAAATCAAATTTTCGATCGTGAAGCTGCGCAAAATACGATTGCAGCCGCCCAACATAATATGTTGAATGTTCCCATTGAGAGTAACTCGACGGATTCTACTTGTGCGGACAAAATATTATCATGTTTATGTATTATACCTTCGGCGACGGCCGCGGCCATGGCGCCTTTGGAACTGAAGTCAGGTGCCGGGAACGCTTGCCGTCCCGCTTGGACAATTTCCTGTGAAGACCGCATGACGGTTTGATTCGACGGTTTATTAGAGAAAAAAAAATGTATATAAATTTTACTCGCGGACGGGACGGCGGCGGTTATTGTGCTGACTGCACGACACACACACACACAGTGGCGGCGACGACGATCGGATCGTCGATCTTGTAGAGCCGCGTGTGTCGAAATCGCTGACCCAAATAATCCTAATGTCAATGCCAAATGTGACAAGAAAAAAAAAAAATTGCAAAGTACGAGTAAGGTACAGTAATAGAAAATCACTGGCACCGGCGCTTTTCCTACTTAGCGGGCAGCGGCGGCCGTTTCGCAAGCACGCGTAACGATTTGCAAGTATTATTATTAGCTCAGTGGCGGCGAGGCGGTCTGTGTCGTAACCCCCGCTGTGTCCGCGACGGCCGTTCAGTACACTTGTACGCTTGCCAATACGCAAGTACGTGTGTGGTAGGCGGAACTCAGAATTTTCGTACCTCCGTCCCCGTAGTGCGTTAAATCCCAAAACCGCACACTTAAGGTTTTGGAATGGGACCAACGGCCGTGTGATTTCACCGAGGAGACATTTGGTTGTTTCGACAAAATTGTAGGTACTTCTAGAATATTTTTTCGATGCCTATCAACACTTCTAGACATGATACTATGATAGGTAACACATAATTCAAAGGTTCACTGTTAAAATAATCATTGTGTCCTTATATTAAAATGTGCGAATGCTGGGCCGTAAAGCAAGCGTTTATTATGTTTATTGGAAAATAATATGTACATGGTCATTATAATAATTTATTGCCTTAGATAATACCTACCTAACCAACCTGCTTCTATTCTCTAACACAAGTGTCCGGTAAGTAAGTAAGTTGAATATTCTTGATAAACTTATTGTATTATTAATTTCTAGGAAACATCAGGTTGTACCCAATAAAGTGTTGTTGCGTTAATTTTTGGTGGTTTTCATAACCGCTCACTTTCAAAATAATATTTTAATTATACTCAAAGTTTTAGACAATGATGGCCGCAGCACTTGGTGTTTTTTCGGCCCTCCAAGCTTGCCGCTTTAGGATGGCCCCCACTAAGTAAGAAAATTGCTAAGTTTGTTAAACAAGTACGAGTTTTTTAGTATTTTTTCAAAACGGCAACAGAAGTACATAATATGTGAAAATTTCAACTTTCTAACTTTCATGGTTCATGAGATACAGCCTGGTGACAGACGGACTGACGGACAGAGGAGCATTAATAATAGCGTCCCGTTTTACCGTACGGAACCCTAAAAAGATCCACACAATTTTATACATAAATTCCCTTCAGTTTTCCCAAAATCAAATCGTTCAACACCACACACACTGAAGTGTATCTATAACGCGCAAGCATTTATCTATAATCGTATATTATTAGTATTACCTACCATTTAGAACCGCACACCGCAGTTAATCAAATTTAATCAAAATCACATGGAATGATCAAATGAACATAACGAAGACATAACGAAGAAATTAATTCAGATTTAAAACAATTAATTCTATATGCGTTAAAAGTAAATCATAATTACATTTATACTATTTTAAATTTATATGATCGTTTCGTTAGCAATGAAATAAGTTTAATTTCGTTTTTGAAAACACAATAGAATATAAATTTATTCAATTTTAAGTACCCAATTTCATTGAGTATAATATATATGATATAATATAATTTATATTAAATATTATTATATATGATATAATATACTCAATAGTTATATCTAGGTACTCTATTATAAACATACTTTATTTTATCTTTTTAGTTATTGCTTATTACCTATATTTTTAATTATTTTTAATTAATATTAAAATTATAAAATTCCATATTTATAAAGCCATATTATAGGTACCTATTTAATTAATTTTACGACGAAGAATTAATTTTAAATTTTTAACTGTCAATCAAATGTGTGTAGCTTTAAATTATCTACCTTCTTTCTATATTTCCTTTATTAGAAATAGAAAAATCTGTTGGGTATTTAACGACTTGAGTTAATTTATTGGTAGGTACCTAATTAAATGTTAAATACTTTGCAGGTACTCCTACCATATGTTAATAATTAAAACCGGGATTTCGATGCACTTTGCCCTTTTTTTTATTTTTTTTTCTATAAATATCAATTAAATTGTATTTGTTGGGCTAAAAAACGTGAAAAACTAATACAAGGCTCCTGATATATTGTTACAAAATAGCAGTTGAAAAATATAAAAAATACTCATGCACAATTTTTTTTATTAGTATTTAAAGTTCAAATTTCGACAACATTTATCACATTTAAAATTTAATAATAATTTTTAGCTAAAAATGTATAAAATGTTCAAATTTTATAGCTAAGGATTGAAAATTTAAAACAAGATTCCACGTAAATAGTTTATATATAAATTACTAAAATATTAAAAATACAAATGCACAATTTTTTTTATAAGCATTTAAAGTATGATTTTTGACAAACTGTATCAAATTTAATTTTAATGATCATTTTGTAATTAATAAGGTAAGTGCAGATAAATATTATACCTATAAGTAATATCAAACCGATTATAGTTGTATCTATCTACTGTGTTAAATACTTCAAACTACAAGGGTGGTACAAAAATCATATCGTGGATATTATAATTTTTGACCAAAAATGTATTTATTGGAATCATATTTTCCTAGAAATTATTTTTTCCTGGACTGTGGTACTGCAGGGGCCGGCTCCTGTCAATCAATGGTTTTGTGAACTAAACAATGGTTACCTACGGATCGGTACGTATATAATATTATATCGGTACTCTGGGTTGTATGATAAAGAATAAGAGAAAGAAATATAAAAATGTGCTCTGCTGTACAGTAGGTTACAAGTGGGTTACTGTATAATGGATAGTATTAAATTTGAATTCAATGATATGATATCATTGTATAAGAAAAACGATGCTGAGCGGAGACGGTATGTCAGTCTAGATAAAAGACATAGTATATACTTATCTATGGTATTAAAAAAAATTGACCCATAATAGGTTGGTACCTATAATAAATTTCAAATTAATCATATCACAATATAAATTAGGTACTTATAACGCGTTATACGTAAACAACAAACCCTGATACTATCATAGATATATAATAGTGTACTTTAGCAGTTTCAAGTACCCACAAATAATATTATACAATCACAACAAAATAACTAAAATAGTTATTCTAGGTTTTTTATGGTTAGGTTAATTTGAACTTAAAATGAATATAAAAATAAACTGTGCTTCTGTATTTTTTTTTTTGGTTAAATTTTAAACTACAAAATAATTATTCAATTTTAAATTTGATAAATTTTGTCAAAAATTGATCTGTAATGCTTATAAAAAAAAATTGTGCCTATGTATTTTTAATATTTTTCTTAATATTTTTCAACTGCTATTGTAACAATATAGCAGGAGCCTTGTGTTAAATTTTTACACTTTTTGGCCCAACAGATAAAACTTTATTGATATTTATAGAAAAAAAAACTAAAAAAAATTCAAAGCTGTAAATGTCCGTAAACAGCTCAAAAAGAGTCAAAATATTTTCAAAATTGTATGGTGTACAGGAATGCTAATATAAACATTCAGTGAAATTTTCATGTATCTACAGTTATTCGTTTTTGTATTACAACAAAATAAGGAAATCGCTACATGAGAAATCGAGTGAATATCCAATGTTGTAAAAATTTGAATTTCAAACGCTCATAAAAATTTAATTTGACTTTATTATAGACATTTTTTTTTTTGATAAAGGTAGATAATCTTATAAGGAATCTTGTATTACATTTTAAAATCTTAGATTTAAAAAGAAAAATTTTTACGAATTTTTAACTCAAAATAATTTGCTAATTTTCGTGATTTTTCCACATTTTGTCAATTTTTGAACTTTAAATGCTTATAAAAAAAAATTGTCACTAAGGATTTTTAATATTTTTCATCTGCCTTTGAAACAATATACTAGGAGCCTTCCAATAAATTTTCAAGCTTTCGCAACCAACAAATACAATTTGATTGATATTTTTAGAAAAAAAACTAAAAAAAAAAATGGAAGATGAAAATGTCCCTAAACAGTTCAAAATAAATCAAAATATTTTGAAAATGTTATCGTGTATATAAAACAACCAGTGAAAATTTCACGTATATACGTTCATTTGTTTTAAAGTTACACCAAAAACCAAAATTGATTTTTTGGAAAACCGATTTTGCGTAAAAATTCCCGTTTTTTCCTTAATTTTTATGTTGTTTTTCCCGGTGCTTGTGAAAACTACTGGGAAATTTTTTACTTTTGACCCCTCAAAGTACCAACTATATTCACATTCCTATCAGAAAAGATACTGTTGAAGAAAATTCAAGAACTTTTACTGTCCTAAAACGTGATGACAGACACAAAAATAATAAAAAAAAAAAAACACACATCATTGTAAAATCAATACATTCATAGTTTCACTCAGAATCTAAAAAAAAATAAAAAAAAAATACACATCATTGTTAAATCAATACATTCGTCGTTTCACTCAGAATCTAAAATGTATAAAATGTTCAAAAATATATATAAATTACTTTATAGTTTATTCACAATAATCCTTCTTTTTTTTAATATATATAATATGTAAGTTTGATTTCTCAACTTGCGAACCAAAGCCATTACTTTAGTTAATATATTTATAATGTTTGAATCTTTTAAAGTATCAAAAACAGCCAACTGGAGTGTATGAGCAACACATCGCATACCTTAAAAAAAAATATATATATATTAAGAAGTTACAATGAAAATAAATTATTTTTAGGCAAAAATGTATGAGTATTTTAAAAATAAAAATGAAGAGTGTATCTTTATAGTTTTATTCTTTATAAAAACCAAACACAACCAAAAATTAATATATTTAAAATAAATATTAATATGACATTTTGAAACATAGAATTTACATTTTTTTTCTTTTTTTATTATAACTAACTCATCAGTGAATATTGTGCTATCTCCAAGGTGCAATGTTTCCATTTTCACATCAAAAATTAGTTTCTCGCTTATATTATTGTCTTTTTCAGTGTCTTCTTCATCTGCAGAATTAAGTATAGAATTTATTTCATCATCATCAATTATAGATTTATCAATCACCAAACTAAAAAATAAAAAAATATAATAACAATAGTACCTAGTTAGTAAAATATTTAATTTAATTTTTTTATTTAATAGATTATACTCTACATTGAGTAAATCAGAAATAATTTTTTTAAAAAAAACGTGTATTTTATTTCATAATATTAACCTATTTGTTTCACTGTCAGTACTGGAATCACTGTTATGATTATCTAATGAAATATCTGGACCTTAGATTTCACCAGAATCTTTTTGGGTTTCAGGTTCACAATCTTTTTCAGACTCTAGCAATATTTCAATTTCATTTTCAATTAATTGTACAGCTTTTACTATATTTGCTCCATTATCGGTGGTAATTGTATACAGCTGATTTGGTTTAACTTTGAATATTTTTAATGTCTGTAGAATAATTTCTTTTAAATATGATCCTGAAAAAAATATTAAAGCTATGTGGAAAATGTAAAATATCCTATGTGCAAAAGGAAGATGTTGAAGTCTATGACATGACCGTTTTAAGTCTCAAATGTGACGACACATTGTAATATCTATGTTCGGGCTAATCGATGTATTGTTAAAAAAAGTTAAATATCGATATCTATAAAATATCATGGCCCAGTGGTGTATGTGAAATCAATATGAAGTTACAATAGTGACATTTAAAACATTAATTTGGGTAAAATGCGGTTTATTAATCTATAAATAGATAGTGATGTCTCATAGTCATCACATACGCACTGCACAATATATTTATATACATATTTATAACATAGGCGGTCCCAGGATTTTACTTCAGGTGCAGCACATTCTGCACATTTAATTACACATTTATTACAGAATACACATAGGTAACTGGCAAATCCCTATATAATATGATTACCACAAACGTCACACACACACACAAATATACAATTCATTCATTTTTCCAACTTGGAATTTTCAATTTTATTTTATTTATATAAACAGTTAATTGTAATAATGATATTATAATTATAAGTTATAACACACAACCATTCGGCGTGTTGTGTCATTTAGTACATTAAACTTGAGAGAATCCGGAGCTTTTTAGGGCTCCGTACACCTCCCACGATGTAAGGGGAACACTTACACCGTGACCTATGAGCCGCACCGCGTGATGACCCGAGGGCCAAGTCGGTGGAGCTCATAGGCTTTGTTACACGCAACTACAAGTGAATGTAGAGTTTAAGGGTAGAAAGATAATATTTAAAGATGATAATTTTGGGCTATTAACAAGATATATTAACTGGCATTACAAGTTAAGGTTAAAATTTAACATTACAAATAATAATAATAACATGACAACTATAATCGAATATAAAAATTTGGCGCATGGCAAATGCAAAATAATAATACGGTGGCGCATGGCAATTACAAAATAATAATACGGTGGTACATGGCAAGTACAAAATAATAATTTTAATTTGTCGCATGCTTTCCTGGCCCACGGGAGGCGACACACCATATCACTCGCAGGGTTACCGGGAAAGCGTGCCGGGCTTGTTAAAGCCGAAAACAGGGGGACATTATTGTGAGGGACCCGCGTCTTGCGACGCCTCCTCAGGCGCACAGGTTATACGAACGTGAATTTCGTATAACCTGTGGCCCACGTGCTGGTAAAGGGGGGGGACAGGGGAAATAAAACATATTACGACTTTGACTGCGCTGCGTGGTCGATGTTGGCTGGATCAGCTTTCGGCCGCCGCCCGGGCCCTCGTGGGTGTCTTAGCCCATCATGGTTGTTGGACGCAGGTTCTCACAAATGATGGCAGCTAACAAGCATCCGACGAAATCGGTTGGTGACGGCAATTGACTTGTGTCTTATAGGATCGGGTGATGAACATCAATCGGTTGGCCGCGTGGTCGGTGCGTCGGTCGTTGTCAGTACGGGTATCTCGCAGTTGACCAGGCAGGTGTATCGTCGTGGACCATGCAGGTGAAGAGCCGTGAGAAAAGTGATTTGTGTTGAGCGTAGTGATGGGAACAATCGAGTGAAAATAATCGAGTAACTCGATTATTTGATTAAATCGAGTAACTCGATTGTTATGAAAAATAATCGAATGATTTGCTCGGTCTCGATTCTCGGAACCAACTGAAAAAATCAAACGAAAAATTAGTAATTACTAATTACTAATTTTGGTAGTAGTTACTAGTTACTCGAATTGAAATGAGTAAAATTAATGAAATAACTACTAATAGTAATATTATACTCGAGTATTTTTATTCTACTAATCTAGTAATCTCTTCCCAGTATTTTCGTTCAGTTAAAAGAACACGAAAATAATAATCCAATTACGGACTACATTATCTCAAAGCATATATAAATTTTAAATAATTATAAAAGTATAAAACTGAAATAGTTTCATAGAAAATAGTAAATTAGTAAATACTCATACGAGTATCTGTTCTGGAATTCTTGGTCGTTGGCATTGTGTTATAGACGTTATAGTATTTATTCATAACTTATAAGTTATAAGTATACTGGGTCTGGGTGTATAATTATTTCATACATTCACACTGTACTAGTACAATATTTAAAGCTTATATAATAATATATTTTTGCACAAACTCGAGTTTTTTAAAATGCGACCAGGAAATAAGCAGCGTTCGTTAGTGTGGGAGCATTTTAAAAAAAATAGTGACAAAACGACAGTAACTTGCCAAGTTGAAAATTGTAAGAAGGACTTAAAGTTTTATGGAAATACAACCAATTTAAAAGGTAGATACTACAATATTATATTATATTATTTAGTTGTACATATTTTCCTAATTCGTAATTCCTACTATATATTTACCTATATTATATTTTTTAACAAACTATTATTTTTTTAATTTTATTATTTTTTTAAAAGAGCACTTAAAACGAAAACATCCAACGATTATTGCTATTCCTGTGTCTACAATAGACGATCCAGATTCTGATCTACAAAATATCGAGACCATTGACAATTTGTCAAATGTTCAATCTCCTTCGACAAGTACACATATTATACAAAGCCAATCTTTAACTTTTCCTCCAGCTAAACGCTCGCGTCAATTAAAATTAGTCGGTTCAACTAAACATACTGAACTTACTATTACGGAAAAGAATAATATTGATAAGTCTTTAATTAAAATGATCACGGCTGACTATTAGCCCTTATCAATAGTCGAAAATGTTGGATTTTTAGAGTACACAATACAATTACAACCACTTTACACTCCTCCTAGTAGGAAATTATTAAGTACAAAGTTGCTGCCTGATCAGTATAACATAATTGTTTCTAAGCTCAAATCTATGTTAAACAACGTAAATGATGTGTCTATAACAACAGATATGTGGACATCTGATTCCACAAAATCCTATATTACTGTTACTTGCCATTTTATTTACAACGATAATTTATACTCGCCAGTTATTGCTACCAGAGAAGTATGCGAAAGTCATACCGGAGAAAATATTGCTTCCGCACTATCATATATTTTTAATGAATGGAATATAACTCACAAAATAGTTACAATAGTGTCTGACAGTGGAGCAAATATAAAAAATGCTATAAATGAACATCTGAAAAAATATCACCACCCATGTGTAGCTCATACCTTAAACCTAAGTGTTAATGATGCCATAAATAAAAACACAGAACTTCTCCAGGTATTAAAAACTTGTCGAGCTATAGTGGGTCACTTTAAACACAGTAGTTCTGCAACTGAGAAATTACGTGAATTTCAAAAACAGATGGGCCTCCCTGAGTTGAAAGTTAAACAGGATGTGAGCACTAGGTGGAATTCATGTTTAATTATGGTTGAGAGGCTCATTGAAATAAAAAATCCAATATCTGCTGCAATGTCGTCTCTCCGACGGGCTCCAAATTGTTTGACTGCGACAGAATGGGATTTAATAGCAGATTGTGCTCCAATTTTAAAACCATTTGAACATATGACGTCAGAGTTGTCCGGAGAAAAATATCCAACATTGTCCTTGGTAATACCACTAATAAGAGGTCTTCAATACACAGTCAAAAATATAAAACCAGATACTCATGCAGGTATATTGCTACAAAATACATTATTAGATGTAGTAGCGAGGCGTTTAGGATCTCTAGAAAAAAATAGTATAGTAGCAAAATCGACTTTCTTAGATCCGAGACTTAAAAAACTGCATTTGGACTTGCTGATAATGCAGACAATACTGAAAAATGGATAATAGAAGAACTTACTTCGAATATAAATATTAATAACGACGATGAAAACATTAGAAACAATATAAGTGAAACACCAACATCCCCAATTGTAACACGCGAATCCTCAAATTCTTTGTGGGAACATTTCGACAATAAACTATCTCAAGTAAGAAGTGTTATTCTCCCTGATATTAGTGCAAGATTAATGGTTCGTCAATATCTAGAGTTACCTCATTTGCAACGTGGAAAAAATTGCCTAGATTTTTGGAAGCAACATAAAAATACTTTTCCTGAGTTATACAAACTACAACTAAAATATTTATGTATTCCTGCAACTTCGGTTCCAAGCGAGAGAGTAATTTCCAAAGCTGGATTGTTAACCAATACGCGAAGAAATAGGCTGTCACCAAAAAATTTAGACTATATAATATTTTTAAATAGTAACTTAAATATGTTGTAAAATACCTACTCAATCAGTTTTAATTATTATTTTTATTTTTAAGTTTTGAACAGTAGTTGTTTGTTATAAGCCTAACACAATGAAATATGAATCGTCAATTGTTTTATTTTAAAAATATTTTGTTTTTATATTATAATTTATAATAATAAATGTAAAGTGTTATTTCAATTAAAATTATTACTATGAATTTTTATTAATAAGTTGATTATTGATTAATTATTAATTATTATATATTAGTTCATGATAATATTTCGATTATTGTAATTGGGTGAAAATCACGACTAAATAATATTTCGATTATTTTAATCGAGTGAATATCTCGATTACTAATTACTCGATTATCGAAATCATTCGATTATTCCCATCACTAGTTGAGCGGAGACCCGGCGACAGCCGACAGCGGTGGTCTGTTGCCGGCGGCGGAGCTTTTTGTCGTTGGTGGGGCAGTTCAGTGTCGTCGTTTTGTGGGATGATACAGTATTACAGTATATTCGGGGAGTACAGTATTGCCTGCGGCCGTACCGACGAAAGCGCTGGAGGTGACGGGCGGCGGGCAAGAAGTATTAATGGTAATATGGGTACAGGTATGTTTAAGATATTAATAATATTAATGCAAAATATGCTGTGACGTTACAAACTCTTCGATGACCTCGTCAATATCCACATTATTAGTTTTATGTTGTTCAACAAATAACAACATCAGTGAATCCAATCTTTTTTGGGTCATTGTTGTTCGAAGTTTACTTTTAACAATTGTCATTTTTGAGAAGCAGTGTTCACAACTGTAACTTGTAACAGGTAGGTATTGTTATAAATAACTGTAAAGCTTTAGAAAAGTTAGAAAAAATTTCACTTTTGTTAGAATCTTGTAGCCAATCTAACCATTCATGTATTGTTTTAACTGAATTACCACCATTTGGTATATCCGTTATATTTTTATATCTTTTATACATTTATATGATACATTTTCACCAGTATTCAATTTCACCATATTTCCAATTAAATTAATGATTTGTAATGATTCCTGATTAAACCTAGAATCAATGCCATTTATCAGTTTATCTAATGTTGTGTTAGATACGGTAACTTTCATTTCATCTGATTTTGTTTCAAAAAATTTTGATTTTGAGATGTATCAATTTTTGTTGACACATTTTCTTATTTTCACATCTGATGTATGTATTTCATACTCTTCACACATGTCTAAACAGTTTTGGTAAATATCTTCAAAACCATTAGAATTATTTCTCATTGAAGCCAATGAGGATTTTAATGAATTAAGTACGTCAACAACTCTAGGTTATTTGATTGCAACAGTTTGCTAATTTTTAGGATCATTTGTAAGATTGGTTGCATCATAACAAGTCCAAAAATAAATTCAAATGACTTCATTTGAGCCAAAAGCCTGTACCTTTAGATCTCATTTCTGGAACATTGGATTTTTCACAAATTTCTTCAATAGGAGTTAAAATAGATGCATAATGGTTTAATTTAATTTAATAGTAAGATTATCACAATTCACAAAAAAAACTTTAACAGTTAACTACACTAAACACAAATAAATAATGCGAGGTATCATACAAAATTACAGCACTAAGTTTAAAAATATATTTTTAATAATTCAATATCAGTAGGTAGGTACCTACTTACATGTAAAAAATTAGTTAGATACTTAATCTAAGCAACATAGATATTAGGTATCACAATAAATTAGTTGTATAAAAAGAAACATACTGAATTATAAAACTAAAAATTATATATATATATTTCTAAAAATAATAAAATACATCGAAACAAAAATAATTTGTAGTCTTAATGTAGGGTATTTTGATGATTTGAAGGACCAGCTCGATAGAATAAATTTGTAGCGATTGTATCTACCGAACAGATTGACGGCGTCAAGGATAGGCAACCAAAGTTGCATGTACGATTAACGTTGTTAGAGGTGACAAGACGACGACGCCTACTCCCAAGATATACGTAATCCAACACACAGCTAAACGGATTGATGGTGGCTGGCAATGACGCGACGATGGACAACAAGGAACCAGAACGCACCGAAACGCGAAGGTGTGAAGGATACAGGTTATACAATGGGAAATAGGATTATGCAATTTACGTATAACCACAGAGCTCACAATAGGTGGAGATAATCTTACAACTAACTTATGCTACGGAAGTATATGCAGTTGTCACGATATCCACTGATGCCCCAGAATGTCCACGCATCAATGACTGAGGTGGAGGTATAAGATTGGTCGATCCACAGCGTATTGCATCTGGACGACCTGGGCGGCCACTCACACAACACACAATGATTGCTGGCGGGCTTACGCAAGTGACGAGTGATGCCAAGAATAACGCGGATGATAGTGTAATAATGATCACCGTACGTTCGATTCTTATTGGCGATAGTCAGTTCGGATTCTCTAACAACAAGGTAGATATTACAAAAGGAACCAAATGAATAAGTACTCACCGATTTTGAGCGAAATATTATGATTTATTGATATCCGTTATGTAAATGATCTGCAGACGCAGTCTCCGCGAAATCAGATAAGGTTACAAAGATTATTGTGTCATTTGACTGATGACAACAATGAGAAAAGATAGAACGTGTAGGTACACAATTGATAATAAAAAAGATCGGGAGCTGCTGTAATAGCGAGCGTCGCCAGTCCACACCACACAGTACTACGTATTATAATTACGATTTCTGTTGGTTATGTCGACACAACGTAAAAAAAACTAGAGAATAAAAAAAATATAAAACAATATGGCGGTGTTTACATTGATTGAGCAAAGACATTATAAATACGTTTTTGTATGGAGTGGATCGAGTATGTAATGAATAGGAAGAGACGGGAAGAGCGGGGATAAAAGAGTTGCCCATTGTGCGTGCTGTACGCTGTCGCTGTTGTAGATATAATGACAGAAATGCTGACGCCAGCAGCATGAACACTTAAGTTATTGTATTCATACCAGTTCCTTCTGACATTTCTTGTGCGATTCCAACCGTATCACTTGTACATGGTGGCATTGGATGGTTTTGATCAATGTCATCTAAATGTGGTATAAAAGAGAATTTAATTTTGAATAATAATATTAATAGGTACTTAATAGTTAAGAATAAATCATTGCATAATATGTAGATATAAATATTGATATAAATATAAAGTACCGACTACTTAATTTAAACTTACCAGTTTTAGGTTTCGGCTTAAAGAAATCACGTAAGGATTTTAACTTATTCGTACTCTTATTACTCATAATAATAAAACTTAATAGTTATGACTTATGAATAATTATAATTTATATTATGATGACAACCAAAAAAAAAAAAACGCGGAGTGCGGTTGAAATGTCAGGTGCAGCACAGGCTGCATTGGCTGCACCCGTGGGACCGCCATTGATTTATAATAATATAATATGTAATATTGTATATTATGAATATTTTAATACCATATAGATAACGTGTGTAATAATTTTATAGTTTATTGTCCAATTTTTCCCCGCGTCGTAATATTGTCATTCGCTAGCTCACTGTTTTTACTTGTGTTACCTTGTGTTTTTGAAGTTTTACAGCTAAGTAGTAAGTGACCAACAACATTAAATTTATCTGTTTAGCACTTTGGCAGTTTAAGTTAAATATACCTATCAATTTTATTGAACATCGCTGTTTCGTATTCGACGTTTCCGTCGCTACTCACTACCTACCTATATATTGTTAAATATTAAAATATGTCTTCAAAACATGTAATTATTTTATGATTAAATCAAGTAATTATATTTAATGTCAAATTGGTGGTGACATAGTGCCAATGTAATAATCATTTTTACTATTTCATTTGGTACCCATAATATATTATGAATAGGTATTAAATTAATGTGTTAATGCAATTTTACACTAGGTATTAAAATTATTTAAACACCTATATCTACCTACCTACCTTATATTATCATTTATGATACTTATTAGAGATATTAATAATTTAACTTCTTTAGTACCTATATTTCAAATAATTATGTTAAAGGTTCATCTTTAGGCTATCAATGGTTAATATCTATCAACAAATATAATCTAATTATTTATCGTTTTTATACTCATATAGGACATTTTCATTTTAGTTACCTAAGACAGAGAATGGAAAATTTGTTAAATGATGTAGGTACCTATTGACTATCATTTTATTATAATTTTATTTTATATAATTTAAAATTACAAAATACTCTAGTCTTTTATTTATACAAGAAGATAAATTTACAGTAGTATAACTACTATAATTGTTATTTAGTGGGTTGTTGGTTATTCTAACGATGAGAAAAAGTATTCAGTTCTTCCACACAACTGGCTCATTCAATGTGGTACGATGTAGATTTCTAGATGGAAAAAAATTGGTAATGTTAGAAGTATGATTGCCGACTATGCTGACATAGGAAACGATTGGCCAACGTATCCTGTTAAAATCGTTTCACAGTTTTACAGTAAGCAAATTCAATTTATTTAAATCAATTTAATAATTTTGAGACTTCAAAAAACTATAAGTAAATCCAGACTTGAAA